ATAAATAGGTAAACATATCAGGTTTATGGCTCCATGACTTCTGCTAATTTTAAATACACAATCTTTCTTCACCCTGAATCTCAAATATATGCCATTTCAATTCTCAACTGATTCAGAGTAGAAGAATATTACCTTGAAAATGTGAACTGGTTTGATAAGACAGTAAACAAGAAGTGATATAACTCTAAAATTAGCTGTCAAATTCAACCTAATTTTCAGGTACATTCCATTCCTAAATAAACCATGATTACACATGGAAGTCAAATTTTACAATGTAATTCTTCCATTATACAAACCACCTGACTTTAAAGTTATCAAGCTTGATTCTTTTACTTGTAAAACTGCCTTTTTCATATAAATGACATCAAAGTAGAAGAAATACGAATCAGTAATTTCAAATGTTCCCACCTCAATGCTACCATAGATATGTTTGGAGTCTTTAACTAGAACAAACCAATTTCTTGATTATATATTAAATGATATAGAATACACTTTTTAAAAACATCTCCATTTTATTCCTAGAGAAAAACAATTATCTCTTTCACAGACAGAATTATATTCCCATAAAATTCACAGGTCAAAGGCCAAATTTCCAATGTGACAGGTAGAGAGGATCAATAGGGAACAGAGGTTAAGTAAGGTCAGAGGACGGGACCTTAAGGCGTCAGAACTGGTGTGATTTGGAGATGAGAAAGGACCACGTGAGGACACAGCAAGAAGGCAGCAGCACGAGCCGGGCAGGGAGCCTCACCGGAAGCCGAAGTTGCCGGCACCTTACTTGTGGCCTTCTAGCCTCCCAAACTGTGAGAAAACAGGTGTAAACACCCATTCGCAGTGTTTTGTTGCAGCAGCCTGTGCAGGCTAACGCAGTCTCTAATGATGGAGGGCTTTTATTTCTGAAGTAGTTTCACCCTACTGATAATCCAGTTAAATGTCTGATAGTAACCAAGGTGCCCCATTTATACAGAGGAGCCTGAAACAATCTGAAAAAAAAACTCACCCCCTCCATCACTTCTATGTACATCTATCATCTTAAATTACGCAAGTGAAATTGTCACTTTAGAAAGGACATAAGACTTTGAATTATAAAATAGTTCCTATGTAGGACCTCATTCTGAGAATACAGTAGGTAATGCCAACAGAGTTGGAGTCCAAATTAATGAAACCTTCGTTGAAGAATAGTAACAAAGATCTTGAAACAGAAATGTTAATTCCTTTTGAAAGCAAAGAGCATCTGCTCTACACGATAAAGACAATTCTACTGGCACTATCTCCTGTTTCTTTTTTATCTTGCCTCAAAATTATATAAAGTTTAAATTTTTTGGCAACTTGATGTTAACTTCGTTTTCATTAAGACCGTGGACCACATATCCACCCTTGGCCATCATCCTGTGCTTTGGTTTCCAAATTCTCAGTGGCAGAAGTGAATTATTAGATTACAGAATGACTAACAGTTTTATAGGACTTAGTCTTCAGTGGTAAAGATAAAGCCACTTTCAATTTCTAGTAAAACTGTAGATGAATGTATATACCCATATACATTCAGGATATTTAAAAAAATCTTTGCAAGGGGGTTTGTTTATATGTAAGTATTGCACACAAACATATTTTAGAGATACATGCAGTGGCAGATATCTAACAGGTGTATTTTATGAGTACCAGGATTCTTGAGCTTTGATCACATTTTTTAAATTCTTTTTTTTCCCCAGGTACTGGGAATCGAACTCATGACCCTGTGCTTGCCAGGCAGGCGCTATGCCGCTTGAGCTAAATCCCCAGCCCCACATTTTTAAAATTCTTAACTGACACATAAAAGATTGTATTTCTGGGTACACATCATGTTTTAATGTACATATACATCGTGTGATGTTTAAATCAGGGCAAGGATACCTAACGCTTCATCTTACAGGTGAAAAAATATTTACCATTTTCTGAGAGCTTTAGTTAGGCACTGCATCGGCACTGACTCATAACCTCATTTAGTTCTCACAATCTTACAAATAAAGATCATTATTCCTACATTAAGACAAGAACACAAAGTTTCAGAGGTCAAATAATCACCCAAATTACTTCAATTAAAAAGTCCTCAAATTAGGCTTTCTCTAAACCCAAAAGCTGTGCTGTCTTGCATCCCACCTACGCCTAATATGTGTGTGACTGTCTTAGGGGCACCGTGACAGCTGCCTTTCCGCTGCGTGGCACTTCACGGCAGCAGTCAGTGTACCTGTGCCACACCTCACCGAGGCGCTCATGAACAAGGACTTGTACAAGTGCTCCAGAGAGTAGAGTGGATGATGGGATTAATGTGTTCAAAGGGAAGGAAAGTATTTTCAGGAGCATTAATGGCAATGTGTCTTTTACTGTAATAAAATTTTTAAAATATTAAATATTGACTATATATTGGATCAAATCTGTGTCACACACACAAACATTTATATACAGTTTTTAAAAGAAAAGACTGTCTAACCATGTTTCTCTCCCTCAACCTTAGGAAACTATAAACTATCAAACATAACATTGCTTACACACTGCTGGATCTTTAAATGATTTTATACAGGTCTGGTAGCCACGCTTTTTAAATACCTAATAGGATTAATCAGATCAATACTGGAAGAGGTGTTCCACACACCTAGCAATTTTCTAAAAGATTTACTACATACTAACACAAAATACAGTGTACTGATAGTATACCGTGTCACTTATAGTATTATGACTTTAGGTGCAGTACCTTGCAAAACTCCTGGGATACAAATAAGCATCCTAAAGTGTCTGCATTCTTTATCTCTAGAATGATTCTTAAAATTGAACTTAAATAGACAAAGGCATTTGGCTACCATTTTAGCAGGTAAAATTACTGTATTACTATAGGAAAAAGCAAAGTACTTATTTCTTATATTAGATAGTATATTAATTTCTTCTCTATTATAATAAGCCACAGAAATTTGAAGTTCTATAACCTATTATACATGGAGAATAAATTATTAGGAGTATCATGGTTCCTTTCTCGAACTCTCAACATACTGCAGGGGGGGTCCAACTATGCAGGACTTTTCATTCACTTTAAAAACTACTTACGAAACAACAATGTATGTCTAAAATTTATACAAGAAACTCTTACAAAACATCCAGAAACTTTTGAGTTATATCAATTCCTCATTTCTTAATACCTGTCACAATATAACAATATCAAAACAATTCGCGATCAAGTAGTTTTACATGTTAGGCAGATTCGTTTACTGCAGGACTTCCTGGAATCTTCGTATATGTGTACTGTGTCTCGCTAAGCAGCGGTAGGTGGCATTCTGTAGATATTACAGTTACAATACACACTGTTCCTCCCTGTCAGCCTTTCCTTACTCCACCCCTCTTCCAAGGCCCCTTTCATCCTGAAGTACAAGGGACTCTCTTTGGACAGTGAAATAGTGACATGTGTCGCTTCTAAGCAGCCATTTTAAGATCTATAGCTCTACTATTACTTTTTTTCCTTTAAAACTTAACGCGTCCCAGAAATATTGAATGAGGAGGACATGGGAGCCCAGTCACAGCTGACTCACAGGACATGAACAAAAATGAGAAACTTCTGACATGTACTGTACAACTCAGATCTGGGGGTTCTCATGATAATGAAGTGTGACTTTGCCTAAGCTAACTGATACAACGTTTCCTAGATTTAATAGACCCCGGCATCTTTCCACCAAGTAATATCTTCCAGGAATTACTTCCTAAATTAGAGTTGGTTTTGTAGAGCATCTTCTCCATTTTTGAATATAGCAGTTCCTCCGTTCAGGGATGCGTTTGCTTGCGAACAATTTGGTTCACAAAAAAGTGTGTGGCAAAATCTTTATTTGTAAGCTCTGCGTCAGGTGACAAGCCCAACCACAGCCATCTTTCCCACACAGACACAAACATGCCCATCTTTTCCAAAATCATATAACAAATTAACTTTGTGAACCGAGGTACCACTGTATTGTAGAAGTAGGTAGTCTTAACCATCTTCAATTAAGCTTTCACCTTAAAATTTTTCAGCAATTTGAATTTCTCTCAATTTCTGCTCATAAGCAATAAAATGAATTTTATTGCAATAATCAGATTAACATTCAGAAATCACAGAGCAAATGGCTACTCAGTTGAGACATGTCAGATCAATTTACAATTAATTGGAAAGTTAAATTAAGGAATAAGTTCTTTTGTTATAAACTGCAACTAAATATTATATAAATTTGCTCATTTTAATTCACACCAAGTCTTCAGTCTTATAAATCACCAGTTCATCATTACAGTATTCATGTATCAGTAAACCAATCATGCATTTTATTCCCAGACTGGGAAAACTCTATGCATTTAAGTAACCAGTACTAAAACTAATTTTTAGATATTACAGTCACACTTTAAAATAGATAAAGATTTTTTTTCTAGAGCAACAACTTTGAAAATAAAGGACATATAAAAGGAGGCATGAGTTCTGGAGTTTGAAATAATTTGTCACTTGTATATATTTTAAAACCTCAATTTTTTCTTCATTATGAGGTTTTCATATTGTAAGTGGTTTAATAATACAGTTACCAACACCTCCATTACTTTTAGTATGTTAGAAAAACTCCCTAATGCTTTGATACTGATTCATTTTTCAATTAAAGCCAACGATTGTACAAAAATTGCTTCTGGGAAAATTGACCAGTTAAATATTTTTAAGTAACCTCTACCCGGGACTTTAATAAATTTACTTTCATTAATACACACTGCTATGAAAAAACAAATCAGAGATTTTGAAAAGTTAATTTTAAAAATTTCATGATTTTAAAAGAAGATTTGACTTACTTGATGATGAAGATTAAAATGTCACTTTAAAAAATATACAAATGTCACACTTCCTTGACCAGTGTGTAAGGTGAATCCATCAAACGGGAGAATGCGGAGACTCGCTCTGCCAGCGCATAGCTCCTGACTGCCTCACTACTTCTGCGTAAGGGAGGAAGAGGCCCCATCAGCGCCCTTCTTACCAGTCAAGTCAAGACTTTCCATTGTGTTTCAATGGAACATCAGAACTTCCAGCTTCTGTGATGCAGCAGGATTCTGTGAAAGACCCATAGGAAAGCAGTTATCATGGGGAGCCATAGGGCCTTTCAAACAAAGCTGATGCTCGTTCTCCTTTACTGAAATAATCTCCCAGCAAAATGAACTGACAGCCAAGCAACCAAAGTGAAGCAAATATCCCTGTGTTAACCTATGCTAACACTACTTTGAGAAAGCAGCCAGGGATGATGGGGAACACACAGATAAAAACCGCAACAAAAAATTCTTAAGTATAAAGATTTTTAAAATACAAGAAAGATGACCAAAATCAACGACAACAAAAAAGTACATATCAACCACACAAAACACTGTAAATACAGATTATATTCTTTAATCATATCATTTGTTAGAATAAAAATATTTCAGTTTGTTTTTGAGACACATTTAATCTCTATAGTTTGCTTTGGTGGTAATGACAAATCCACATGGAGCTAAAAGGAACGATTTCTTCCCCCTTACAGATGATGACAACACTGCTTCTTTACAGTCTGTAAGTTGTATACCACTGAAGCTGGGTGTTGCTAGTTTTTTGCTCTATCAATATTGTAACTCATTTTATGACTCAACTAACTTTGTTTTTTCCTAATCAGTAATTATAAACTAAAGAAATGACCCTTCACATTAAATATCAAAACTATGTAGTAATTCATCTGAGTAACTATCTAGAATTAGATAATTCAGTTGTCATCCCGGCTATTAATGAAAAACAGTAACAGAAAAGAATGAAAAAAAATATTAAATGGTCCCACTTAGTTCCGTGCAGATTTATTATTACCACTGAAGCAAACCAGAAATGTGTTTCATGTGGTTTCATACAAGATACTACTCTTTTGCTCCTGTACTTTTGAAAACAAGAGTTTAGGTGAAAAAAATAAAACCAGCTCTTTAAAACTAACTACAGAGGACATATACGAATACTTCCCAATTAAGTGTCTGGGTTTTTAATAACACTTCATGAATAACGCATGAAATTATAAAAATTGATACAGTATAGTATGCTATTTAAGATTATCATAAAATGGACATTACTAAACTATTCTTTTAAGAACATTTCCAAAGTATATTTTGTTTGAACATACTTTTTCTTCATAGAAATCCATTAAAATTATAAAATTAATGAGTAAAAATCATGAAGAAACTATAAATAACTCCCAAGTAACGAAATTGGCATAAATTAAAAAGACAAATACAATTTAAAGAGCCAAAATTAGAAGAGAAGGATCTACCATTAATGTTGATAGTGTGAGTTTAATTTTTTTTGGTTTAACCATCTCTTAGCCCCTTAGTCTAAGAAGTGAGCACATGCTATTTCAGAAATAAAATATACTCATTCTTCCTATAGATGAAGTTCTTTAAGGAGCCCAAAGATACACTCTTCCTGATCTTCAGCTAGCCTCACAGATTTATTTCTATAGTGGAAAATATATCAAACAAGACCATAAATATACCTCACTTTGATTACTGTTCAGTAATTTATAATCTATGATACAACTGCATTAAAGAGTGAAAGGAGGAGACAGACACTATAGCCAATATGGGTTCTTACTCTCTTAAAAAAAAAAAAGAAATCATGGTAGATTTAAGAAAATGGGATCAGCCACAAAGCAGAAGTCACTGTCCATGCTGAAGGTGCTGCCCGAGACAGGCTTCCTCTCTGAGTTCACTGATAGCTAAATCTGGGGGAGTCAAGGTTTCATCTGGCTATTCCAAATGCCTATGAGTAGCTTCAGAGAAGCAATTTCAATGTAAGTTGCTCTGCATTTAAATTACAAGCATTTCACAAAATTTTTGATTTGATGGAACTGGGTTGTCAGGTGAGATGTAAGAAGGTCAGCTGGGCAAAACCCACCCCTACACTACCCGATGACTGCCTGTGTTCTCAGGGTGCAACCCCGCTCCCCACTCAGCACCGGTGTCCTCTTGCTCCTCACCCCAATAGTCTTGCAATCCTGGCTCTCTATGATTAGCTCACTCTATCTCACTAAAAGCTTCCTCTTCCCTTTTCAAGGCCCCCGTTTCCCGCGTATGACACCGTTTCCCACAGTCCTGGCCTGCCTGGCCCTGGTACAGCTCCTGATTCCCCTCTGAGAAATTTCATAATGGGAGGTGGGTCAGTTATCTATTAAAAATCTATGATTTGCCTATTATCACAAGCAGGGCATCTGATTTGGCATCTGAAAAACCTATCTTACAGATGTGCCCTAAGCAACCACTAAAATATGGTGAAACAACTGGCTATCTGGCACAGCTCACACACAGCTTCTTTGGGGTGCAATGCTTTGAGAAGCTCATTATATTAAAAAAAAAAAAAAAAAGAAAAGAAAAGAAAAAAGGTGAGGTGTCCTCCCTATAACGAAGCAGACTCCTAACTAGTGTTAATATCCAGTACTGCATTTGAAGGCACATCACGGCAAAACCCACTTCCATGCCAAAATTGTGTGTTTTGCACTCTGATGCCACTTTTACCTAGTCAGTGCAGAAGGGACTCCAAGGTAATGTACCTATTTACATGGAAACGTATTTAATCTCCATGAATGACTGCTTTTCTGATGTTTTCATCAATTCCTTAGGTAATACATTAAGCTTTAACTAACTCATTTTCATACATACGCCTAATTCAATCAAGCTCAATAAAAGTCATTCTGGACTACAATTATTTGCTAAGGAAGAATACATTCAAATGGAAAAAATTGGTAAGCATAACAAAATACATAATATAGACACTTCTTCACTTAAGGTACAAGAACAACAACAAAAATAACCATATTGCTAGTAAATAGATTTTTTTCTGTTTTCTCCTGCAAATAGAATATTGATGCCTTTACATCTCCAAAAAGGGGGCGCAACCAGAGAAAGCAAATTTTTATATTCTTACTCTCAATGATGTTTATGCTTTGCATGGAGCTGAATGTCTAACCTAAGAGTCAGCATGACCTCTGTAAGCCATCGAAAGTCCAGATCACAGTCCAGGAGTTCTGGTGTCCACAGCTCCAGCCAGCCTTCCTCTAGCCTCCTGCATTTTCTCAGCAGGTGTGCCGACTTCCACTTTACAATGCCGTTTCCTTTCAAAGATATGTCCTGTTTTAAAACTTTTTTATGTGAACACAATTCTTATGTTTCCCTTTAACTCATTTTTATATGTATACTACATGTTTATACTGTAAATTAACTTAAGTGCATAAGTTTTCTGACGAAGGTATTTCCTGTTTTAAAACTTCTTTATGTGAACCCAATACTTAAGTTTTCCTTTAATTCACTCTTTTATATATGTACATGTTTATAAATGAACTGAGATGCAGGCTCCATGCTCTGCCCTGTAATCACCTTAAAAACACTGTCATGTTACAGTCACTCCTCAACACAGCCTTCAGATACACTGTACAGTTTTACAGTACTGTAAATGATGCTGTTACACTAGCTGTTTTGCAATTTTAGCCAATGAGTGACATGCCTCAGGTCATTGTGATCCACCCCAGGCCAGGTCCAGAAGGACAATCTGATTGCTAACCAAATTATTTGCTGAAATAAAATTCCTTCATAGAGATAAAGTTCCCTCCTGGAATATAGAGCTGTGTGTGCATACATATGCACAGTGTGTGTGAAAGTGATCATTTAAAGCATGAATAGAAACATTATTATTTGTTAAATTCACTTGTCTTTTATAGTCAAAGCCTAAATGACAATGATTTCTCACGCATTTCTGCCCAGGCACCAATGTTTTAACTAAGATTACAAATATCAGCTATACTGAGGACAGAAATCTTTTACAGTAAAAAGCAAATCTGAGTTACCGTTTGTCACCTTCCCATTCCCACCTTCTCACTTCCTTATGACCCACAGCTTTTCAGTTAAGAATCATTAAATATGACAAAGGCAAACACTGTCTTAGGCGTTCCTTCGATATCTAGCAGTAAACCAAAGTAAATACTAAGTAAGTACAGATCCGTCCATTTGTTTGGACCCTCCAGAAGGTGTTTTGAAAACACTCTATAGCAAAGGTAGAAAATTCTATTTGTTTTCTCACAATAGCTTCTTAAAATAGCAAGACAAAAGAAATGGAGGTCCCCTCCCTGTAATACTCAATATTGTACAATATAAAATTATATTTTTAAAAGTTATCTAACACCTAATAGATACAAACAGAACAGCCATGCAAATGATTTAACCTTTTATTGTTTGAGAAGGTAATGTGTTAACACACAGCCACAAAAGGTATTATAACAGTACTGCGCTTTCTTGAAGCTAATAATCTAGCTGAATAATACGAAAAAAATTACATAACAATAAAGAAATACATAATAATGTTAAAATTATAAGTAAAGGATTTTAAATTAGAATGCATGAAGCAAACATTTTGCAGGAAATGAATAAAGCTAGAACTGAAAGCACGGATGATCTGGGGACACACAGGATGGGTGAAGGTGTAAGAGGCACAGGCTGAACGAAGGTCCAGCTGGGCGCAGGCATCGCTTGCGGGGAGCAAGCAGAGACAGAGGAAAAGAACACAAAATACGGCAGATGAAGAAAATGCCATTTGCTCCTTTTGGGTCCACACTCTCACAGAGTGCAGAATAAGGCTGGCAGCATGGGAGTCTACGCCCACCCGCCTGGGGGTACCACCCTGGAACTCTGGGCCAATTCCTAAGCCTCTCTGAGCCTCTCTCCATCAACTGCAAAACTGAGTTAACAACCCATTCATCTGAAAAGGTTGCCCTGACAGCTATTAGAAGACAATAAAAATGCTAAGTGCTTTGCATACAGCAGGTGCTCAACAATGTCAGTAATTTTATTAGAGTTAAAACTAGGTGGTAGAAAAGCAATGAATAAAATTACACTGTGAACACACAGAAGTCTGCCTTGAATATTCTCAGAATTTGGATGCGAAATGAATCGCTAATCTCTCCAGTAGTGTTTCACTGTGGATTTTATTTAAACTTAGGCAGCTTTAATACATGTTTAATTCCGGCAGTCTGAGAAACTACTTTTTACTCAATGTACAT